AAAAACATTATAGTCTTATTATTCACTTAAGAAAACTCAGACAAGGATATACCCTCTACCCCTGTGTGGGCAACTCTTCATATGGGATCTAAGAGTGGATCGCTCGCCGAAAAAATTACTACAGAAGGGGCAGCTCATTCCGAGCCGCCAAATTTTCCAATGGTCTTCAGTCACTTTCCAATGCTCTCGGAGGTCATTAATATTATCATCCTCCATCTTGAAGGTGCATCCAGGGAAGGTAGAGCGGGGGAGACGGTGCCACGTGAAACAGTGCTTCATATGCAGCTTCTTGCCATTTAAAGTCTTGAAGAACTTCCCACAAAAACACTTGATCTTCTTCTCTTTAATCTGTCCCCAGAGAGATTATCGGCTGAAGCGAAAGCTTCGACATTTGATGCACTTGAACTTCTTGTTACCGGTGGATGAGGAGGACGGGCATCAAATGTCGCAAAGCTTTCGCTCCAGCCGATAATCTCTCTCGTCACTGGGGACAGATTAAAGATCACCGAGAGATCAAAGAGAAGCAGATCAGGTGTTTTTGTGGGAAGTTCTTCAAGACTTTAAATGGCAAGAAGCTGCATATGAAGCACTGTCTCCACGTGGCACCGTCTCCCCCGTCACAATTCAGCTGTATGTACCTTCCCAGGATGCACCTTCAAGACAGAGAGGATGATAATATTAATGACCAACTGAAGACTGTGGTAATTTTTTCGACGAGCGATTGGATCCCATATGAAGAGTTGCCCACACAGGGGTAGAGGGTATCCTTAAGATGGATGTCTGAGTTTTCTCAAGTGAATAATAAGGCTATAATGTTTTTTCTTTTCCAATCACTTTACGTTACATTTTTGCCGCAATTTTTTCTGAACGGCTTGCTAGCCAGTTAGGGAAAGTGATTGTTGTCACTTGTTTGGATAAACCAGAAATTTTGTTGTCAGCAACAACCTCTATTTTTGTTTAAATTGCATCATAGGTATTAGCATATTGTTTTCACAACATGATATTTCTTTAGTGAAATTATCTATATTTGTTTAAAAAAATAAAAAATAAATTAGTGTTCTAATAGTTAGTCTAATTGTTAGACGGGTCGGTCATTCAATTGGACCAAAAATATATATTTATAGCATAAGTTTACGTGATTATTACAATGTGATATTTTCTAGTAAGATTATGTATATTTGTTAAAAAAAATTAGCGGGCCAATTGAATATGTAGTACCCCTTTCGTTTTATTTGTAAGAGTCGCTTTGTTTTATTTTATAATGTGCATTGCATTGCGTTTATCTTCGTGTATGGCTCGACAATTTTATCGAATAAGCTTATTACGATTATTTAGATGTTCCCGTCTATTTAGCCTAATAAGTTAAATAATTTTTGTAGATATCCTCGTCTACTTAAGTTATTTCCAATATTATTAATTTTTCGTCGTTAATCGAAATCATTCGTAATCATTCGGTGAATCGCATCGTATTATTTTGAGCCTTTTTCCGAGCAAGCAGTGAGTTTATTACTCGGCCCAATTTAGTTGCATTTTTCTCGGCCCATTCTTGCTAAATTTTTGGGCCGAATTGGGTTTTCGGTCAATGCGAATTTACATAGTTACCTTAGTAAGAGAGAGAGTATATGGTAGAAAATTTGGAGAATCTCATAACTTGAAGGATTCCTTCCATATAAAAAAAATAAAAAGGTAAATTAGAAATTATGTTCTATATAGATTCCTATAAATAAGCATTTTTCATAGGATTCGTGCTAGCCGGCCCAGCCACATGTGCATGGTTAATAAAATATCAAACAATTTTATTTCCTTTATTGCCCACACCTATTGACTAATTTTCGTTGATTGTATTCCAATTTCATTAAATACTAGTATGATAACCATATCTTATATTGAAGACCATATTAATGTCATAAGGAAATCAATCTACACCACATGGAGCCAAACAAAAGCAATTTGAACTTAGTGGCAGGGTTCGATTTTTCAAATTTCACAAATTTTAGTGTAAGTTAGTCTAATAGTTAAGCGAGCGAGTCGATCTGAACAAAAATGTGAACTACATATCTATACTACAAATGTCATATTTTTGTTTATTTTACTTTTTAAAGAGGTGTTTCTCTTACCATTAGTTCTCTTGGGTTTCATCTCTAGCCTACCCTAACTTGGGACTTAAAGGCTATGTTGTTGTTGTTGTTGTTGTTACTTCTTAAAGATGATATTTTCAAATGAAAGTGCATATTTATGAAAGACAATTGGTATAATGATCAAATCGTACCATAAGAGTTACCTTTATCATTACAAAAATAATATTTTTTACTGTTTTAGAGTCTGTGATTTAAGCTTCATACTTTCTGCAATTTATGTACAAGTGTGTTTTTTAAAAGTTTGGTTTTATTATAATAATCTTATTTATGTTATGAAATTATAAAATAATGTATGTGAATGACTATTTTGCCCTCGATGTATTTGTATTATTACGAGTTGTGCCATCAGAAGTTTCCTATAAATAGGACCTTCAGTTATAATGAAAATCGTACCTAAGAGAATACATTTTCTCTATTCTCTCTCTTTCTCTCTAGTTTTATAACACGTTATCAGCACGAGTCTCTGCCCTCTAGAGCTCGATTTGTAATATGACGAGAGTATGTTCTACGGTTGCATCTTGAAGATGAACCTCCGTATCAGAAATCTAAATATTACTTATTGTTCTTCTTATGAATCAACTCCCCCCATGGCAAGAAATCTGATTTTTCTCTCTACTTTATCACGACTTTATTTCAACCCATCTTTCCTAAAGCAACCAAGATCTTAAGCACCATGAGAAGAAAGACTATCATCATCCTAGCCTCCAACTTCAAACTCGTAGGAAAGAAAAACGCTCCAGGTTCACGAAGCTCATGATATAAATGGTAAATACTTTACCAGAGAGGTATGCCAAAACTCATTCACCAGCATGTATTTAGCTTCTCATGATTTTGTTATCTCGTCTATTATTTAATACTTTTTCCAGTGACATAAAATGATGAACTTTGAGAGGTAACAAATTGAAGCTTGGAGGATATAATAAGTAGCTTAGAAATGTCTGATGGAGAGGAAGACGAAAGGTAATTGATGAAAGAGTAATAATGATCTTTCATTAGGTGGGGAAAATCAAAATAGGTGATATAATAAGTCGTGGGCCTCGTGACAATTAGAAAATGACAAATGACTAATGGCAACACATTCATATCAGAACATCCACCAAGTTTTACTATTTACAAGTTGACATAAATGCCAAAACACATTATGAGCTTACAATTTTTTATATGTTTTCCATTTTATTTTGGTGGGACCTTGTGACAAATTATATTGCTCAAACACAGTTGCATTGGTATAGAAATATCAGGCACATTAATTTCACATCAAGAAGTTAACACTCGTTATTGGAGTTCGTTAAATATAAAAAGTATTGATTATCGAAATTCAGTTTTCCCTATTTCACAAATTCCTATTTAATTAGAGCTTCGATTTAAGACCAATATTGATATGATTTATTATATTAATATATATTGTCATCATGAACTGTTGATTTTATTCTATTGAGAAAATTATTTGGTACATGAACGTGCGAATATTTATGTATTGACCCTTGTGATATGAAAAGAAATATATGTGTGGCTATATGGATCAGCCAGTGCGGCTCTGCCGCCGGCAAATAATATTTAATGGTAACCAACGGGTCAATTATTGATCAAAAATATTATAAAGAAATATGACCGATCATATGAAATGGCCAAGTGTTGCAGCCACCAGCAACAGATAATATTGAACGGCTAAATGGATCAGTCAGTATATTAATGATAACCGATGATATAGAATGGCCAGGTGGCAATGCCACGTGCAACAAATGAATGGCTATACATATACATGGGTCGGCCAGTGCGGCACTGCCGCCGGCGATGGACAATACAAATTAAGTGATAACCAATGAGTGAAATTAATGATACTTTGTATCTGACCATGTGAAAGTTAATTAAAGTCCTTGTCATGAACAGACATTATATGGACTAACCTGGTCCTGAAGTATCAGTTGATAAATTCTCCAAATTTATGGAGATTGATGAGATGGTACTATAAGTTACCACATGATTAATGTAATGTCGGAAGTTATGGCATAATGATTAAATGATATCATGGTATAGTAGTATTGGATGCTACAACTTTATGATTAAACAAAGTGATGAAATGGTACTAGAAGCTACCATTGGATGATTGAACAAAATGAGAAAGTGGTATCAAAAGCTACCAGCTATGGGTGATCACACAAAAATGATTTCTCAATATATTATATAAGTCTAAGGGGCTATATCAGATGACGAGATCACATTGGGATACGAGATCATACAGATATTACAATAAAGTGCTCCGGAAGAAGCACAAATGATAATGATTGTAGTCATGAACTACTATACACTGAGAAAAATCGAAATTGATATTATTATTACTGAGAAACAAGTACAAAATGTTCAGATGGTGGAAATATGGAAAAGAGGCAGTAAATACTCGATGAATACAAAATACGCAAAGATTACATAATAGAACTCATTAAAGAAGGGTGCGTCTCGAGAGTGTAAAACTCCGTAACTCTGCCACCCATGAATGATATCTGGGTTCATATTTGAATAATATCTGGGTTCATAATGAGAGATCTAAAGGATCAAAAGCTCTTTTTCGCTTGACCCCTTGTGTTTCCACAGAATCTTGAGATGTGATGCATTCTTGAAGCTTTTTGATAAGTTCAGCAGACGTGTCAGCAGATTTGAATACTTCTCTCATTGAAGGAGATATAAAGGTTTGATATACTCCTATGTCTAAAAATCCAAGCAAACCATGAAAGAAGTTATTAAAGTTCAATAGACCTATGGGCTTGTTATGAAGTTTCAATTCTGCCCATAAAGCAATGGTGAACATTGTCATTAGCGTTCCATACCCGCCTGGAAGAATGATAAAAGCATCGCTATTGTTCACCATATCCATCATACAAGCATGAATGGAATGAGTTAACATCATGCTTGTGGAATCCTTGACGACCTTTGTTGAAGCTCTACGAAAAGGTATGATACTTTTCACTTCTATCTCAAAACATTGTCCAGCCATTAAGAGACTATCATAGAAAGTATTGCTAGTCCCTCCATACAGCAAATTGATTTTTTGATTCCCCATCTCTTTGACTAACTGACTTACAATATCAATAGTTTGAGAAAAACTTACCAGTTTAGAACCACCAAGAACACATATGGTTTTGATCGGTTGAAGAAAATTATTACCTTGCGAAGACTCTGAAACATCCATCTATTTATTGATAAACTGAATTTTTCAAAACTTTGTGAGGCATATGATTATGATGAACGACTCGCTATTTAAATAGAAAGTTTTACATAGCAATAAATAATTTTACTGTTTTCTTCTGACAATTGCAACTGACAGATAAGGTGTTGGATTTTAAATAAATCTTATCTGTCGGCAACTATAAGTTTTTCTAGAAAATTACAGTACAACATACTAAACTGTATTAGTATGATTTTTCGTACTAACAAGACCAGTTTTACAAACTTGATCTTTTGAAATAATATTTTCGAGACTATAACGTTCTTCTTCATTTTTGAACTGAATCCATAAAGACATAAGCTCACGATGCACGTATCCACTAGGATGTGTCTCAAGAATCTGTTGAATCGTTTGATCCAAAGACTCCTTACTCAATCCATCCTTTATAAACGTTATTTTATCTTCTCGATTTTTGGACACGTACCCCACAGATATACATCGTGTGTCACAAGTCCATCGAGCGCATTTGAAGCATCCACCTAACCTTTTTGCTCTTAGTTTCTTTGCATAAGTACTTTTACCCATACCTGGCATATATTTATATGAATTTGGAAACTCTCCAGACAATCGAACTTGTGCTTCGATCAACCATCTAACATCATTTGGAATACCATTATTCATTAGCATCCTCAATCTTTCTAATCGAGATCG